CTCGGCTGCCCAGCCCAGTCCCAGGCCAGAGCGTGCCGTGCCTTCTGGAGGTTTGAGTGGTCTCGGCTGCCCAGCCCAGTCCCAGGCCAGAGCGTGCCGTGCCTTCTGCCTTTTGGAGGTTTGAGTGGTCTCGGCTGCCCAGCTGCCTCGCTCTCCGCACCCCGTCTCTGCCATACACACACACACATAGACACAGACACACAGCGCCCTGTGAGAAAAGCCAGCGTGCTGTCCGCCAGGCTCATCTCCCTTCCTCGTGGCCTCTGTGTGTGTCTGCTCTCTGCTTCCCCTTTAAACTGGCCTTTTAAATCCGACTGGTTCCCTCATTGAAGAGTTAAAGAAAATCTTTGACACGGGTTGGCTTTATATTTGCAGAAGCCCTGGTTTTATGCTTTTCAAACAGCCACCTTTTAATACAGCTGCGTTCATACGTGCCGTAAGGTTCATTTATGATTTGTTGGTAAGGAGTCTGAGGGGCTGATGGTCCCTCATCCAGCCGGTGCGGGGAGGATAGGCCCACGCCTGGAACATGCTTCTTAGAGTAGCTCAGTTTTTCCTAAGAAAAGTCCGTGACACCTGTCCTGGCTCTGTTTACGCTCCGCACGGCGTGGGCTGGGGCGTGCCGGCCTCCGCGTCGCCTGGGCTCTCAGGTGCTCCTCAGGGCCGGGCCTGGGTCGGCCTGTGCTCAGCTGTGGGACGAGGGCGCGTGTGGGACCTGGTACCCTTTCCGGGGGTCCCCTTGTGCTCATCCGCGCCTGTCATCTGGGAAGCTCGCTCGGCTGAACCCCGAGAGCCTGCGCTGCCGGTGGACCAGCCCAGGGCCCAGCGTGGACTCAGACCTTGCGCCTGGCAGGCAGGGAAGGGGTCCCTAGTGGATGTTTGACTCTCCCGTGGGTCACCCAGTGGGTGCCGCCTCTCCTGTGGTCCTGCACCTGCCCTGGGAACCCCAGGCCCGGCTCCTCTGCCTCGTCACGGCCTGGACGGTGACGAGGGAAGAATCCCCGGTGGCAGAACTCGGGTGGTTCCCCTGCCCGGCCGTGTCTGCCGGGTGGTGTGCTGGGGCCTCAGCTGCCCTGGGAGGGGAGCCAGCAGCAGGCGGGCCGCGGAGGGGCTCTCCATCCCGTTCCCTGTGCTCCATCTCCTCCTATCCTCGTTGGTTTTTGTCTTTTGCTCTCTGTCCTTCTCTCCCTGCCCGTCACCACCTGGCCTCACACCCGGTCACCCTCACGTGGCTGCCTCGGCTCTGTTGTCTGAGTGGCTAGTTGTTGGGAGCCGGCCCCGCTCTCATCGGGGGGCCCTCCTGGGGTGACCCATGTAGTTTCGAGTGGCAACATGTCACGCTTCCTGCTCCAGACAGTGGAAATGCATGACTCACATGTGGTGTAGTCTGTCCACCTCCCTAAATCGCCATTCACAGACACTGGTGCAGTTAGACCTGGCGCTGGGGCCGCCTGCTTGTCCCGTCCTCCGGGGGCTTTGTTAGTGACATGGTCCCACACTCTCATGGCTTCTCCCCCACTCTGTTTCCTCGTCTCTCTTCATGGTGGATCGCTCTGTTGAGGTGAGAGGTGGCAGTCCTGGGGAGATGGCTGTGGTGGGGCACCAGGAACTTTCTGGGCACGGGCTGGGTCTTGACTCTGGTGGGTAGGAGTGTCTGCGTTTGGCGGATGTGGTCAGCTGTAAGCTTTCACTGTCACTGTCCAGAGCACAGTTCCTTTCTCAGCTGTAGCTGTCGGGCCACCTCTTGTTCAGGAAGTTTTTTTGCTGTTCAGAGTCACACACAACTTCCAGATGACTAACCTTAAGGAACTGAACTTACCCTCCAGAGTGGACGTGGGTTCAAAAACAAGTCTTCAACATGCCCGCCCACACACCCATTGGTAAACGTGGGTGGAGCGCTGTCCGCGGTGATGGGAAGGTATTCTGAGGTCCTGCTGCCCATCACGGCGTGTGGCTCTGGCCAGGTGGGTCACAGAGGACACTTAGAGGGCTGTGTTCACAGAGGGCCTAGCGGTGGGCCTCCCTGCCTATCCGGCCTCACCCCAGAGCCAGTTCTCTGGTCTGGGGGACATACGTTCAGTCTCAGGGCCTCAGGTTGCACAGCATTGAGCAGGGACTTGGGCTACTGTCCAAAGTCAGTACCGTGGAATGTGCCAGAACTGATAAGTGGCTGAGGGCAGTGCGGGGGCTGGGAGCAGCACAGGACACTCTGAATTCCACTGCAGGCCTGGAGGCACTAGGGTGAGGAACCTGCAGAAGGTTCCAGAAGACGAGTGGGTGTGGCCCAGTCTCCAAGCCCAGAAATAGCTTGTGAGCAAAGAGGAAGCAGAGGCCAGCATCAGGGGGGCTCTGAGCACAGGCCCCTGGCAGCCTGGCACAGGGCAGGGGCCTCACGTTGGTGTTCACGCTGAGGCCCCTGCCGTGAGGGGATCCTGGACGTCTGCAGGCCTGGAACTCCAGGCTCCGTGCTGTGCTGGCCAGAACAGAGCATCCGCTGCTACCTGTACGTTGCCTCAAACCTGCTGCACGACTCTGCTGGGCCCTGGCGTCAGGTGCAGGCTCAGAGGCAGGACGTGGCAGTGGGCAACGCGAGGAGTGCTTCCCTGCCCCCACTGTCCCCAGGGCTCTGCCTTTTGGTGCTGGGGAGTCCCAGCAGAGCTGGTCCGTGGAGTGCCTGGGGCCACCAGGGCCCCTGCTGAGAACCCGCAGTCAGTGCCAGGTGGTCAGTGAGGATGAGGGGGCTTTGGATGCCGACACTCGGCTTGTCCCACAAGGAGCTGACAGTGACCCTGTGTCCTTTACCTGGTCTTGCCAAGCAGGACAGGTGGGGGTCTGCACTGTTGACGGTCTGGGGCCCCTCCGTGCCCACCCCTGTCGTCACATCAGGGGTTGAAGCGGTCCCCTATACCCAGGAGGACTCTGGCCAGCCCGTCCTCGTTAGACTCTCGACTCCCATGTCCCGCGTTCCAACCGTCCGCCATGCCTCCCTGTCCCATGTTCCGACTGTTCCCTCCATGTCCTGTGCTGTGTCTCCCATCTGTCCCCCCTCCCGTGTCCCGTGTTCTCTCGCATCCCCCCACCCCATGCCCTGAGCCTCACACTCGTGTTGAAGCCTTTGCTGACCTTCCCTGGTGGGTCAGGAGTGTTCTCATCTGTGTCCTCCGGGAACCGCTGTGCATGGCCACAGGCGGCAGAAGCAAGCAGACAGGGCCCTTTGCTGTCACCAGTCACTCTCCTGTGGTCAGAAAGGCCCAGGAGGCAGCATGCTGTCCCACTGTGGGGCTCAGGCTCCCACCCGCAAGGACCTGTGGCTCTCAGCTGACCTCAGACCCACCCCTGTGGGCAGGAGCAGGGCCAGTGACCCCAGTGGGGGGCATGGCCTCATGTGAACGGGGCTGAGTGACTCCTCCCTATGGGTGGGCCCCGTGGCCCACGTGTGGGGCCAGGTGACTCCCTCCCCGTGGGCAGGGCCAGCTGACCCCTCCTCATGGGTGGGGCCGGTGACCCCTCCCTGTGGGCAGGGCTGGGCCTCTACTCTGTGGGGCACTGAGCTGTCAACCTGTTCTGAAAGGTGCCCAGTCTGGAGGGGACACTGCTGCCTTCTCATAGCTGAGTGACAGGCTCCACACTGACTCATGTCATCCTCTCTCCTAGTGTCCGAGGTGCATGCAGTGTGACACCAAGTTTGACTTCATCACCAGAAAGGTGAGACGAGGCCACCGGGGGAGGGCGGATGAGGGTGGAGGGTCCCCGTTGTGATGCTTGCCTTACTTTGGGGAGCTTGTCTTGTGTTTGGTTTTATAGTTTAACCAAAACCATAGGCAGGGCGTGTGGGCATGTGTCCATGTGTGACTGGGTGGGGTGTGCAGGCGTGTGTGTGTGACAGGCTGGATGGGATATGTGTGTGTGTGGCCATGTGTGGGGCACATGTCTGTGTGTGATTGCGTAGGGTGTGCGGTGCGTGGCTGTGTGTGACAGTCCGGGTGGGGTGTGCAGGCACGTCTCGTGTGACTGGCCAGGTGAGACACGTGTGTATGGCCAAGTGTGACCAACTGGATTATGCGGGTGCATGTCCACGTCTGACTGGCTGAGTGTGTGGTGTGTGGCCGTCTAACCGACGGGATGTGTGGTGCGTGTCCACGTCTGACTGGCTGGGTGTGTGGCCCGTGCCCCCACCTGACCAGGGGGTGTGCGGCACTGTGTGTCTAACCAGCTGGTGGGGCTTGTGGTGGATGCCCCCATCCGACCAACCGGCAGGGTGTGTGGTGCGTGCCCCAGTCTGACCGGCGGGATGTGTGGTGTGCACCCGTCTGACCGGCAGGCTGTGTGGTGCACGTCTGTGTCTAACCAGCTGGTGGGGTGTGTGGTGCATGCCCCTGTCCAGCCAACCAGTGAGATGTGTGATGCGTGCCCCCATCTGACTGACTGGCAAGGTGTACAGCGTGTGTCCATGTGACTGACCAGTGGGTGTGTGGTGTGTGTCTAACTGGCCAAGTGTGTGGCATGTGCCTCCGCCTGACCAACCAGCGGATGAGTGGCACGTGCCCGTGTCACCACCTGGTGGGGTGTGTGGCGCGTGCCCATCTGACCGGCAGGGACGCCCACCCACAGCACCACTGCCGTCGGTGCGGGAAGTGCTTCTGCGACAGGTGCTGTGGCCAGAAGGTGCCGCTGCCGCGCATGTACTTCGTGGACCCCGTGCGGCAGTGCGCCCAGTGTGCCAGCGTGTCGCAGAGGGAGGCCGAGTTCTACGACAAGCAGCTCAAAGCGCTTCTCAGTGGTAAGCAGCGGCCCCGCCTCTTGGAGCAGGCGTCGGGGCCCACCCCTCCCTGGTGTCTGCCCCGCTGGCCCTGGCTGGGCTGTGGTGCTTGGACTGGGCATTGCGGCTTCAGAGGCCACTGGTCAAGTGGCACCCGAGCTGTCTTTGGGAACGGGTTCCGTTGCCCACTGGCCTGGGGTCCAGGATTCCCAGGGGCCCTTCCCGCTGCTGACACTCTGGCCCCTTGCTCTGTCCTTGTCGGTGGGGCCTCTGGTGGCGTGTAGGTTCTGTGGTGCTTCTCCCCACTCCTCTCCATCAGTGACGTGGGTGGGACAGCGCTCCTGTGGGGACCTGGACCTTTCTGCCGAGTTCCCTGGGAGCAGGGCTTCTCGTCGCCTGCACCGAGCCCTTCGCTGCCTTTGCTTCGGCTGCGGCTGCTCCCGACAGGGGCGTGCTCTGCTCCTGGTGTCGTTTCCCCTTTGCACCAGCCCCAGGCCCTTCCTCAGACGGCCAGGGAGAGAGCTGTGGCAGCAGGGTCTCAAAGGGGCAGGCAGAGTTGAATGTTCACGCTGGTTTTGTGTGCCAAGGTGCTACCTTCCTTGTGACGTTCGGGAAGTCTGAGGTGTCCGAGACAATGGTCTGCCGTCTTTCCAACAATCAGAGGTGAGAACCAGGGTCCCTCCCCAGTGGTGGAGCCTAGTAGCTCCACCATCTGAGCTCAGTTTGGTTCCACGTAGGTTCCTGGTTCTGGATGGAGACAGCCATTATGAGATTGAAGTCACACGTATTTCAGCCGTGCAGGTCCTGACGGAAGGATACCCCCCTGGAGGTGAGAGTGTGGCACGCAGCGTGCTAGGGGTTGCTGCCAGGTGTGAGGGTGTCCGTCACTCAGGCGGGTGTTTGGTAACTGGCTTTCGGACCACCCTGGTGAGCGGGTTGAGAGGTAAACCCTGAAGGAAACATACCCGACCAGGTCTGTGATGACGCTCCCTTTGCATACACCCTTCTGACTGTCTCGCTCACCGTTGGGTTTACTGAGGGAAGTTCTAAACGTTGCTGCATGACCCAGAGGCCCAGGAAGGTTAGCTGTGGCTGCCGAAACGTGCCCCGGTCCGTCTCTCCCTCCTGAGAGCACCTGTGTGAACCGTATTCCTCGTCACATGCCCCTGGCCAGCTTCTGCAGCCTCCTGCCCCCACAGTGGGGCTGTCTGTCCTGCGAAGCGGTCAACGCTGTCCTTGCTTTCTTCTGTCTGACGGACTTTTGATTGTTCCTCTCCTCTCTCTCTGCTGTCTGCCTTCCTGACGTAGACAGAGATGCGCACACCAGCCTCCTGGAGGGCCCGGCCGGCTCTGAAGGTCAGCGCCCTCTGGGCTGTCCCAGTGTGCTGTGGGCCCCTCCACCCTTGGCTTCTGTGCCTGGGGGCATCTTGGTCAAATTCAGTCACGCTGGCCGACTTAAGCGTGGCTTGGACTTGTATGTGAGTGGCTGTAGCTGCTGGTGTCAGCCCCCGACTCATGGCATCCCCGTGCACGGTGGGACTGGATGCCTGTGGTTGAAAATGCCCGGCAGAAGGGCACACACGTCATCTGCTTGAGGCTGCGGCCACAGGGGGAGCACTGGGGTGACCAAGCAGCCTTGCTTCCAGGGTACCCTCTTGGATGAGGTTCTGAGAGGCCACGGCCAGTGCTTCGCCACCTCTGCCCCCAAGGACCTGCCCCTGGACATAGGGATGTTACAGATGGTACCAGGCCACCTTTGACAAGTACCGGCTGAAAAGCCCTGGTGTGAGAGGCCATGGAGGCCAGTGGAAACAGCAGGACCCCCAACGAGCTGGGGTCAGGAGTCAGCTCCACCCCCAGGAAAGGGCATTGCCGGCAGAGCTGGGGTGCACCTGGTGCCCTCGTGCCTCCTGGTACCGGCTCTGAGGGGGAGGCTGTCGCTCCCGCAGCCCAGCAGAAGGCTGGCCTGGGCATGGCTCCTGAGCGCTCAGACGCAGCCTCTGCCCTGGGGCACAGAGAAGGCCCAGCTGAGGCTTCTGACACCAATTTGCCCCCTTGTGGCAGTTCAGGGTACAGCAGGCCCTGCTCTGCCTAGACCCATCTCTTCCTGTGGGGGACACAAAGATGCCAGCAGTCACTTGAGCTGCAGGTAGCAAGAGGAGACCTGACCTGGGACCCCTGGTCCAGACCAGAAGTTCCCTGTCAGGAACCAGAGTAAAAAGAGCGGCTCTGTGGCCCCAGGGTCTCTGACAAAGTGCAAAAGCAGCCATAGAGTGATAGCAGGTGGCCCTGGCTGGGTGCTGATTTCAGACAAAACTTTATTAACACAGTGGTGGGCAGAAGCCTCTACTCTAAGCATAGATGGATACTTCTGCCAGGTGGCCAGGAAGGGACAGAATGACTGACGGGATGAGTGAGGCGGCGCTGGGCTTAGAAAATGCGACTGGCTCTTGAAAGCCTACTTGGGTAGCTGGCAGGGACCAGAGTCCCGGTGCAGATACCACTCACCTGTGCCAGCCTCAGCTCTGGTTCCCAATCTTGCGAGCGGTTTCTTACCAAAAGGCTGGCATTGCTCAGAGTGGAGCTCTCCCTGTAGCCCAGTGAGGAAACGCAGGTGCGGGTTGGTGGGAGGCCCTGCGGGTATCCTGGCCACACTGAGTGGTGTGTGTTCAGGCAGTGCTAGAGCGAGGTCCCACAGGGCAGGTAGTTGGCCCCAGGGGCCACACTTCTCAGACAATGGCCTTTGCTTGCAGTCTGTTCAGCCTGGCCGGCCAAGGAACTGACCTGGGGGGGCCGTTGCCCACACGTTTGGTGCTCAGGCCTGGCCAAAGTATAGTCTGTCAGGTTGGTGGGAGGCCAGAGAGTGGTCTAGAGGCCGGCTGTGGTGCTAGAGGGGAATGCCGTTGGTCCAGGAGGGACCTCTGAGGCCGAATCCCACGTAGAAGAGTCTAGGGGCTAGGCCCGTCGTGGGGTATGTATGGCCCACGCCTATCGGGGGCAAGAGGAGTGCTGTCCGCTGGGCACCTCCTGACGATACACTACCATGAGGCCTCCTCTCAGACCAGGATGCAGGCTGGCCACCCCCCAGGGCAGGTGGGCGGGCCGGCTGGCCTTTGGGGCCGTCTGACCTGTGTGTCTCTCAGGAGGCAGCACTCGGGCTGCAGGTCTGCTCCTGCGGTACACCACCCCTGGGGCTCAGGGCACGACCCAGCTGAAGCTGATGGCCGGGGAAGATGGAAACGCCAGCAAGAGGCCGGCAACAGCGTGGCTGGTGGCCATGCACAAGGTACCGCAGAGCCCGGGGCGGCAGTCTGCCTGCGGCCGTGAGGGAGCGGCCAGCCCACCTGTTGATGTTTGGTCATCCTGCAGGCGGCCAAGCTCCTATACGAATCCCGGGACCAGTGAACGCACGTGTGCTCAGTGGCAGCCGACGTGGGACAGGGCCCTGTGCAGTGCTCGTCCGAGCGCCTGGTGGTGCCCACCTGCCTCGTGTAACGTGCCCTCACTGGGGGCGCTGAGCCGCACGACCGCCGAACCACCCGTGTGCTGTGCTGGGTTACTAGAAGGTTCTGCCCACCAGTGCTCACTAACTCTTCCGCACAAGCCACCTGGGGGGAGACCGGGTTTCCGCTCGGCTCTGGAGTCTGTCCTGCTCTAATACCGGCTAGTCAGCCTTTGCCAGTTTCCTAGACGGTCCAGCCCTCACACCGCTAACGTTGGGCTGGGAACAAACTTTTGATACTTTGCTGAGAGGCACCAGCTTTCCATTTTGTACTTACTTCTCCTTCACTTTATTGAGATGACTGTACAGCAATTTGTATAGAAAGCTTACAATTAAAGCCTATTTTGAAAACACACATCAAGCCATTTGTTGCCTCCTCATCCTGCAGCTGGGTTCCCGCTCAGAGATGAGAGGCACGCTGGTGGCGTGGGAATGGTTTATTGTGCGCTGACACGGTGGTTCATGGTGCCAGTGGTCACGCTGCACAGGCAGTGCCCACAGTGACCCGCTATGGTTCCGCATCAGTGAGCGTGCACATTTTACATAAATTACACACAAAAGACTTGGACGTGGGAAAGCCAGCCGAGGGCCTGCGCGTCAGTGAGGACAAGCATCTTCAGTGGAGCCCTGGTGTCCTGAATGCTCGAGTCCAACAGTAGCTGGGGTGTAGAAGTCTGTTTGGAGTCCTTGTTGAGTGGAGCCCCTCTGGCTGCCATCAGTCCCGGCAAGCGGAGGTCAGGAGAGCAGCTGCCTGCCAGCTGGTCCAGCCTCTGTGGTCCGCCTGCTGTCCTGCCTGGAGTCCCACCCACTTGGGGTCCTGCCTGAGGCAGCACCTGGCAGGCCCAGAAGAGCCGCCCCAACCCCACTCTGAGCGTCAGGCTGCAAGGTCTGCATTCAGAGCAGTGGCCAATGGTTGCAAGGGGCTGCAGGTGCCAGGGCTTCAGAAGGGCAAGAAGGTGGCTGGTGAGGGCTATGAATGGATCCACTCCACCTGCATGTCACTCGTCTTCACAGCCCTCAGCCACTGCACTGGGCAACACCCCATGGCAGACACTGGGGCCACCGTACGCTCGTGCTGGGCACGTGTCTCCACCCAGGGTGCCTGACAATGGAAGGGGGTGCTGTGGTGAAGAAGAAAGTGGGGGTCGAGTTCAGTGGCAGGGTGGGTGTTCCCTCCAGCAGGGGTGGCAGGATGAAGCGAGGCCCATCAGTCTCACTGGCCACCCCCAGTGGGAATTACAGGGCTGCCTGGTGACAAGGCAGGGCCTCTGAGAGCCGCCTCTTTGAGTTCACAGCAACTGGCAAAGGCCTGCTTTTAGGAGGCATGAGGAACTGGCCCCATTAGCTGCAAACTGCAGAGAGAGCCCCTCACAGCTGTGGGCTTCACGTGACGGGTGCTGCCTGCTGCATGAGCCGCCCTCCTGGGCAGACAGCAGGCTAGACCCTGCGGCCCCTTAGAGCTGCCAGGCCACGCAGCACCCTGAGTGCAGTTCAGGCGAGGGTCCGCTGCCGAGGTTTGATCCGTGGATATAACTGGGGGATAAAGGAAATATGTTAGGGCCAGAAGCGGGGATGCTAAGGGGAGCCCAGCCTAACCACTGGGCTTCCACATTCCCACCTAAGACCCCTGGGCCGAACGCTCCAGGCCGCAGCTGCTGTCTCCTTCACCAGGACCTGCCCTGACAGCCGCGCTTTCTCGTGACATGAACACCGTCTGACCCACTAGTGGGCCCCGAGGGCAGGCCCGTGCGGGGTCCTTGCTGGGTTCCCCTCTAGCACTGGCACAGGGAAGGGGCCCAGTGAGGGTCTGCAGAGGGAGTGGAGGTCTGCCCTCAATCTGAGGCGCCCAGAGACAAGCTGATGGGTGGTTCTCTCTTCCCTCCCTTAAAGGGCACACGCTCACACACAGCAGAGGTGGTGACCTTCCAGCCCCCTCCCTGTCCTGGGCAGCAGAGAATCCTGATCAGGGAGCCCGGAGCGGCTGTGAGGAGCTGGTGTGACACGGACAAGGTGCATTCCTCAGGCCACACGTGGAACCCTCTACCAGATGCAGAGGGGGTGTTGAGGCCCTGGTCGCACTGGGATGTGCGCTGAGACTTGCTGGCTCAAGGCTGGGAGAAGGGGCACCCGAAAACGGCAGGTGCGCCGTGAGCACGTACCCCCAGCAGGTTCTTGGGCACGTAGCCCTCCTGGCCCCCCAGGCAGGCCCACCACCACTCCGTCTCATTCTCGTCCTTGCGTCTTAGGATGGTGATGGCGTCCCCCTCGTGGAACGACAGCTCGTCGCTGTTCTGAGCCTCGTAGTCCCACAGTGCATACACTGCCCCCTTGTTCATCACGCCCAGCTTCTCCTGCACCCCTGGGGGCAGAGAACAGCAGTCATGTTCCCAGGGCAAGGGCTCCAGGGCCAGGAGAAGCCGCTGCCTGGGGCTGCCCCGAGGAGGTGGGGACGCGTCCATGGCCGAGCCAGAAGCCCAGACCAACTTAACTTCTCTCTCGAGTCCTGAGTCAAGAGGCAAAAAGCATGTTGTCCTGATAGCCCTTTTGTATACAAACTCACAACTCACATCTGCACAGATGCCAAAATGACGGGGACGGAGTGTGCTCACCTGTGGCGAGGACGTCTGCACCTGCTCTCTCAGGAGCAACTGCAGCCCCAGGAAGGGCCTGCTGGCCGGACACTGGCTCAGATGCCAGATGGCAGGCTCCCACTGTATCTGTGCACCCCTCACCCACCAGCTGGACTGCCTGGGGACCCACACACCCCAGCCTGTCACATGGCCCGAGAGCCTGCTGCCTGTGTCCGCTCCACCACACCAGGCAGTCGGGATGCACAGGGGTGGCCTATTTTGTGGGTGCTGCTTTTGTGTACTGTCTTACACGCAGGGCCTGAGAGAGGGCAGGGCATACGGAAAGCGCTCACATCCTTTGTTCAGAGAGTGACTTCTGCCTGTTTAACCACTGTCACAGGAAAGACAGCAGCTGCTGGAAAATCTGACTATGGCTGACAGCTTCATTAGGACATGCACGTCACTCTTCACATGGGGACTAACAGCAAAGCCCTTGGCTGTCTCACGGAGGAGGAGCAGCCTTCCCAGGGCCTGGACAGCTCTGGCCTCACTTCGGGTCCAGTTGCAGGCCAGGAGTGACGTGCAGACAAGGCCACCTCCAGCACCCCTCCTGGCCTCAGAGCAGCGTCTGCGCAGGGCACAGGCTCCTAAGCATGTGCGTGGATGTTCCTCGTGCTCAGGGCTCCGGCGTGGGGCCTCCCTCCCAGTGAGTTCTGCGGCCTGCATCGTGCCAGGTGCCACCCCGGGGTCAGTGGCCTGCATACCATACAGGAACTGAGAGCACTGCACGTAGCCTTCCTCCATCTCCTCACACTTGTCTGCCGCAGTTTCAATGTCACTGATGGTTGATGCGAAGATAGCAGCACCGCTCTCGACCAGTTGCTTGCAGAGGTGAACACTGTTACAGGACGCAGCGCAGTGTAGCGGGGTCCTGGCTCAGACAGGAGGTCAAGATGTGGGCCTGGCCCTCCCACCAACCCACCACTCCTGAGGGCAGCACGCCTGAGACGGACCACAACTGGCATCTGCGGGCCTGTCAGCTCATCTCACGGCAGGCTTTCTGCTAATGATTGTGCCAGAACACGTGGAAACGTGGGAAAAGGCAGCAAGCCAGACAGCTTCTGGAAGTCCCAAGTGATGGACCAAAGAGAGACCCATGGCCCGCAGTGTGCTGAGACTGCCTTATCAACAGTGAGATGGCCAAGGACTACCCGTCTTCACAAGTCTCGGAAGATGGGCCACCGACCACGGCTGTCCTCTGGGGGCACGACAGGCTGTCCTCTGTCCTTCACACGTTCTGATTCTCTACGAGATGTGCACTCCCCTCCCTCACCTACACCCCGACCCAGGGCTCACCACCTGTCACTGTCACACGCTCCCCTCTGGCATGGACCCTCCCGCACCCTCACCCTGACCCGGGGCTCACCACCCGTCACTGTCGGCGGCGTTCACGTTGACCCCAAAGTCCAGCAGGAACTTAACGATGTGGAGGTGGCCGGCGCAGACGGCATTGTGCAGGGGGGTGATGCCTTCGTCATTGGGCTTGCTGGGGTCCTCCACCTGGGACACAGGGTCCAGGTGAGCTGCCTGTCAAGCCACCCGCACCCCACTGGTCAGGGCTGTGGCTCACCTCGTAGATGACCCTCTGCACCAGGTCGAACTCTCCTTCTAGAGAAGCATCCAGGAGCAGTGCCAGAGGGTTGAACCGGACCCTCAGGCCACGCCCGGTCCGCTCTGAGCTGGGCTTCTTCAAGTTGGTCCGTTTGCCCTGGTGGGAGACGCAGGCTTCTCATTTCAAGCGCTGACAAGCTCAGGAGCGACACAGGGGCCCCCGGAAGGGAAGGAGGGGTAGGAAGTGCCAGCCACGGCACCTGCGGGCCCAGCCCTCCATCACTAGCGCCTTCAGAAAGGATGCTATGCTGGGCCACGTCAGGGTGCCGTGTCGGCTGTGGCCCTCCACTGGCATGGGCCTTCCCACAGAAGGAAGGGGTCCCTCTCCTAGCATCTGGCCCGGCAGGGAGGACCTGGTGGGGGACCCTCCTGACAGCACACCCAGCCCCGTCTCTCCCTCCCCCGCACTGACCTCCAGACTTCCTGCCCCCCAGCCCTCCACTGTGCCGTTTCCTAAAGATGCTCACTCATCCTTCAGGCTCTGGTAAGCACCCTCAGGAAAAAGCCCCTGGGTCTCCCTGACATGCAGCCCACATTCTCCTCACAGTTGTCCCTTATAGGGAGGGACCAAGCTGACTTGGCTGCCACTGTCCTTGAACCCAGCACCAAACTGTAACCAGGACAGAGTGCAGTGAGCCCTGGCAACGGAGGGGCTAGAGCGGGTGGCTTTGGGGAGACACCCACCGTGGAGGCTGCAGATGGCGGGGCAGGCAGGGGAGCGGGTGCCTCCCCCGGAGAGGGCTCTTCGGCCACAGGGCTGGGGGGCTGCTCTGTGGGCGGGACAGTGGCCACATTGTTGTTATCGTCCTCCGTGGGCTCCAAGGGACGGGTGGTGGTCTGGGGACAGATAAGCTGCTCGGGGTCAGGGGGAGGCAGCTCATTGTCATTGGCGTCTGACGACGGGGTTGGCTCAGCAGGCAAGGGGCCTGTGGCCGGGGCGGGCTCTTCTAGGTTTCCGTTGGTGTTGGCGTTACCATTGTCCACATCGGCCAGGCTGCCCATGAAGTCCTGTGGGGTGCTGGGCTGGTAGAAAGGGGTGCCCTCCACCCCACCAGCCAGGGTGTTGAAGCGCTGGTACAGCAGCTTCTGGATGTTGGGCCCGCCAGGGCCCTCAGGCTCCGTGATGGAGCTACGCTTCTTCAGGGGTCGGGGTGCGTTGGCCAGCTTCCTGCGCAGGGCCTCCAGGTCAGCGTCGCTCTGGTAGCGCAGTGGGGAGTGCACGATGGGTGTGAGCTTGGTGGGGCTGAGGGGCCGCGGGAGGCTCTCCACGCCGTCACCAGACGGGGCAGGGCTGTCCTGCTCCGGTTCCTTCTCTCCACACTCTGAGGGCGGCGGCGGCACACTGGTGGACAGTGCCCCATGCAGGAACGGCAGTGGGGACGGGGAGGTGGAGCCCGAGGGCAAGACGGGTTTGCCATACACTGGGGGACACAAAACACAGGGAGGGCATCTGGGTGGGCCCACGAACGTCTCTGCACGCACAGGAGATGGTGCTCCTTCTGTTCTCAAACTGTGCAGAGAACCCCGACAGACCCCATTTTCCAGACTAAGAAAAGCTTGCTGACCTGACCTCCCTCCCCAGACAAACCCTCCTTGTCTTCTGCCCAAGCATGCAACCACACGGGCATGCCCAATGGCCTGGGAGCTCTTGAACATGGTGGGAGGCCACGGGAGATGCCGTGCCTCCACTGGGGAGGTCCTGGCACTCCCAGGACTCCTGGATCTGAGGGCCTGGACCTGCTGCCAATGCCTGTGTGTCTGATGATGCCCAGGGTCCTGCGGCCTGAACCCCCTGTGGCCTCCAGGGGGTGTTCTCCGCTGCCTCCCTAGTACACCTGTCCTAGGGCAGGCTCCTCAATGAACCACAGCCCTTTTGTGTTACCTGCCCGAGGGGTTCTGGCCCAACAGCTGCCATGGTGCCTGGAGCCAGCATTGAGGCAAAGTTCCCCAGCTCACCTGCCCCCTGGTGTCTTCTCGCAGAACCAGGAAGCAGGAGGACAAAGATCTCACCGGACACGTGCTGAAACGGGGGTGCGAATGCACCCCAACCTCTTTACCCTCTTATACCAACACCCGGCCAGATGACAGCGAACGCCTAAGTACACATGGCCCAGACACAGGTACAGATGGCATTTTCCCAACTGGAAGTGGAACCCGGCAACCCCAGGAGAAGCGTGCACGCACGTGGTACCTGCTTTGACCGACTTGTTCATGGTGCTGTGTGTGGCCTGCTGGTAGCTCTTCGGTGGAGTGGCCTGCTGTAGGTATACGGAGTATATAGAGCTGGAGTTCACCGTCTGGGGGCCCTTCCGGGGAGACTGTGGCCTCGACCCTTTGTCAGCCAAGAAGGGCCTTATGGCTACCGTCAGTGGGAGGTCAGGCTTGCCATCTCCAGCAGGAAACACAGGGGGCCCTGACGGTGGGTACGTGGGGCTTGGGGGCACCGAGATCCGCTGCTGAATTTGCTGCGAGGTTCCTGGTTGGTGGGCGCTCCCGGCTGGTGGCGGCAGTGGGGCAGGTTTCTGCCGACTCGCTGGGCCCGCACTGGGCCTGGGCAGACTGCCCTCCGTCCTCCTCTCCAGGGAATTTGTCGACCCTGGGCCCAAAGGCGTAGGAGTGGGATATGTCCCGTAGCTTGGAGGCGGCTGCTTCCCTGCCCCCGGGATGGGTGGTGGCACTTTACCGATCTCAATGCCCTAAATTCAGAAGTTAAGAAAACAAGTCATGGTTCACCATGCGATCCTCAGCCTATATGACTATGAGACCAGAAGAACTAGATGGTGCCTGGCTATCACTGTCAACCACTCAGAGGGGATCTATGTAGGAGATCCTGGATTGAGAGGGAGAACAATGTGGAACAAAACTCAAAATCATTTGGAAAAAAAAAAGTGGGGCGGGGGGCAGGTTTGCTGGTCTGATGGAGCACGGTGGAACCACTGAGACTATGGCCCCTAGCTGCCCGTCAGGTCTGGAATTGAACCCACTCCTGTGGCTTTCAGCCAAACAAAAGACAGGCATATGAGCTGAACATTTACCTGAGGTAGATACACTCCTTGGAGAGAACAATCATGGGAGAAAGAAGGGCTGTTGATGCACAGGGAGACAGCTGAGGGAGCAGGAGTGCATGGAGGGAAGGACACAGGGAAGAGGTAACTATCGGGAAGAAGTTGGAGGGAAGCTGTTGCATTGGGGTAGATTGTAGTCAATGTCATGAGACAAAGTGTATGTTAACTGCTGTACGGAAAGTGAATTTGCTCTGTAAACTTCCACCCAAATCACAATTAAAAAAAAAAAAAAAAACATAAAAAGAAAACAAGTCAGCTTTTGAAAAGTTAAGCATGCTCCATCTATCACGAGAGAAGGCCAAGTAGGCCAAGAGATGGGGCACCAGGCTGGCATCAAAGCCACCAAACGGCCACGGCCTGTCTGTAGCTCCAACGACCTTGACCGAAAGACGTCCACCTACAGGAAGACTGGGCAACCTATTTCCATAAAAGTTTACTGCCTCGGAAACCCAAAGGGGTCGCTCTGAGTCGGAATCGACTCCGTGGCAGGGAGTTTTTTGTTTTTTTAATGGGCACTTCTCTGGGGCTCTGGTGTAACTGAGGGTTAATTTACCTAATGGTTCCCACACCCCTTAGACTCAGACTGAAGGTAGAACCATGACATAGTGGGGAGCTGCTTTTGTTTCCTGTGACAAAGACAAGGTGCCTACCAGTTTCTCCGTGGAGCCTAGAGCTGCTAAGGGCAGAGGCTGGCTCGAAACGGCACCCTGCTTCGAGGGCCCCTCCACGCCTGTGTCCTTCCAGTCTGCACCAGCCATCGGGGCTGGCTTCACTGAAGAGCCAGTATTCTGTTTGAATGTTGGCCAGTTTCCATCATTAGCTTGGAAAGAACACAGAATTTAGTCATTTTCGTGACAGCAGTGGAATCAGCAATAACCCCACACCAGAAACAGAGACAGCACCAGACGTGGCATTCTGATGGCCCTCAGCTGACCAATGACGGCCACCTTCAGCAGGCCAGCTGTGTCCTCACACATGGCATGCTGTGCGTGAGGCCAGGCACGGCTGGGTCGGCAATGTCTGTCACTGCGGTGGCCTTCCGAATGCTACGAGACTCCAGACAAGCAGTACCGCAGTAGATCTCCAAGCTCCACAGTGAAGCACAGCGCACCAGGGCTGAGGCTGCCCGGCCGGGGGCTGCAGAGAAGCTCTATGGACTCCCATCTGTGTCTGGGTCAGACCAGTTGCCCAATGCCCCAGAACAGAACGAGCACTGACACCATCACATATGGCAATAGTCTGACCCGTACAGTTTCCATCATTTAAAAAAAAAGCAGATTCTCGTCTGCTGGGAGCATGCCCCTGAAGGGGTTCCTGACCACAGGAGGTGCACGAGCTTCTGCTGATGAGAGCAGCGTGACAGCGCTCACTGGGCTGCAGCGTTAGAAAGCCAGTCCCCAGCCCCAGGTTTTCTGGAAAGCGACCCCTGATTTCACAGAGCATTTTCCAAACTGAAGAAAGAAGAGGCCTTCGTTCTGGGGACAGGGTCACGACAGTGACGTCAACACATGGTATTTGTGGGGCCAGAGGTATACACGACATAGCCATGGGTGCTGACTCGGCCTGACGTGGTGAACAGCGCTCTGGGACTGAGAGAAACCAGAGGGGTGTGCTGGCCTGCCTGGGAAGAACCTACAGCCTCCCCGTCCTGCCTGCAGCACGGCAGCAGGGAGACCAGCTGTCCGTATGAGAACAGTGCTTGAGCCAAACCAGCTCACGGACAGCAAGGGGGCACGTGTCCAGCGTGCTCTCAGCTCGGCCACAGAAGGCGGAAGCGTGTGCTGGACGACCAGCGCCAGCCTGAGCCAGACGGCACCGCTGTGGCGACACTGCGACCCTGTGCTCGCTGCTCCCTGTCACTGCAGGCTGACCTTCTGTGCTGGCCACGCCACAGGGCCCTGCTGAGGCCTCACGGTCCAGTCGCAGCTGTCCCCTCGTTTCCTGTGGCCTGTCAGCTCCCTGTTGGTCACGCCTGGCCTTGTACCTTTCCTCAGCACAGTACGGGAAGGCAGGGACAGGTGCTGTCCATGTGGTACCTGTTGTAAGTCTAGATGCCAGGAGCAGACCTTTCTCAGTTTGGAAAAACAGACTGTCATTTGAATGCATATTAAAGAAATCGCGAGTGCCCACTAAGCCTGCCTGCAGACGTACAGTTTACAAGTGGGCCTACTGGGTGCCGTGAGGAACCATGGGCCGGCCCAGCATCCAGATTGGACACTGTCCACCGACCGGCCACTCTGGGACTGCCGTGACCACCTGTGTGACACAAGGACCAGAACAGCAAACAGTGAGAGGCCAGACCCCAAACACCACAGATCCACCCTGAGGCCTTGGTTCTCTCTCCAACTGGGGGCCAACCCAGGGTTCCTGTCTACAGCCACTTTCCAGGACAAGGGTGAGACGGGGCTGGTGCTGAGCTGTTAGAGGCTGTGTACTTCAGGCTCAAGGTATCTCCTCCTTGCACTGTACCCCCCAAAAAAGAAATGGGGCATGGGGGGCAGTCTCAGCTTGGGAAGATTTAAAGTCAAGTCAGTGGAGAAGGAGCTGGTTATGCTGTCTGCCTGCCACTGGGACAGGTGAGGACCTGCCTCCCAGGTGCCTGCATTGAGATGGTTCAAGGTCTGCATCCCGAAGGTGCCTGCCACTGGGACAGGTGAGGATCTGCCTCCCACAGGTGGCTAAACATCGAGCAGCCCCTCAAGGAAGCTGTAGCCACCGGCTGCCTGGCCGAAGCCTTCAGTGGCTGCAGGAGCATGGGGGTGACGAGGGCTGGCTGAGGCCTCCTCTCAACTGTTCTCTCTCAGCACAGGCCCCAGACTCTGCAGCTGGAGTGGCAGATGTGTCCCTGTTCAGACCCCAGGCGGGACAGACCTGTGGCAATCCTGCGAAGACGCTCCCAGCACAGGCCTGCCGGGGACAGCTGGGAGTGCCAGGGGCCACACAGGACGGCGTATCTTAGGAGGCTGATGACGTCGTGTGTGTCTGTGTGTTGGAAGATGTCCAACCCCAGGTGCAAAGAAAGTCTCATTGAAAAGCAGCCCTGGCCTCTAGATACTAGCTTAAAACCACCAACCTCCTGGCAGGAGAGCAGACCCCTGGGAGACCGCTGGTGACAGAGATGCAGGTGGTGGCTGAGGTAGGGCCACGAGGCTGCAAGGTGAGTCACATAATTTCGCAGGGCTGGGCAAGGCCAGGTCCCTCACCAGGCAGTTCTACATTGTCAAGCCACAAAGTGATAGGATTTGGGCTTTTGGAGGGAACAGATGTGCTGAGCAGAGCCTTGCTTGGAGGGGAGGCCCTGCTGGCATGGTGACCCCGTGGCTCTCGCAGGGCGGGTGGAGTGCGTGGTCTGACAACCACGTGGTGATGATGGCCTGTGCAGTGAGAGGCTGTACCTTGACTGAGGGCATACCATGCTCTCCAAAAGTCCAAGCTCCTCAGAACGGGACTTGGGGTCGGGCCTGCTGGCATGGCATTCCCCATGGTCCTGCCCCGGCTGCCTCCCCACTCTGCCCTTAGGAGGGCCAGCACAACTCACCAGATTTGGATCGTCCGTGTGCAGCACTGGAGGTGATGGTCAGAGACTGGGGCTTGATAGGGTCCCCGGGGACAGAAGAGCTCCCAGCGCTGGGCACCTGGATGTAAGGTCCCACTGCGGCCACTCTGCCAGAGACGCTCAGGGAAGACTGTGGCGATGACGTGCCATTCACACGGCCCAGCTGCAGCATAGGAAGAAATGAGTCAGCGCCTGCCCAGGCTGGAGCAGCGC